TTAATAAATAATCAACCAATCAAAGTATTACTCAATAAAGGAGCAAGTGCTAATGTTATAGGATTAGACCTAGCATGAGAATATAATCTACTTAAATTATTAAAAAAACCATCTACTAGGACAGCACAATTACCTGGAGAAAAAGTAATCAAAAACTACAGAAAATTATAGTACCTTTCCAAGTAGATCAATATAAAGAAAACCTTAAAGTAACAATCATTGAAGGAAACCAAGCATACCTTCTACTTTCTAAAATCGATCAAGCACGATTAAATATATCTAAAGATCGAAAAAGACACATCATTCTTATACACGTTAAACCAATAAACTATCAAGACATTGATGAAAACTATCAAATTCCTAAGAGGTTTAGGCATTATGATCAAGTCTCTATTCATAATGATCTAGTTTCTCAGGTACTCCTCCGAACTTTGAGATTAAGCGAGTTCAAGCTAGCCAAATATCTCAAAAAATGAGATACCCCTCAAAAATCAGAAAAAAACCTGCAAAAGGTGCCCAACATGTCAACAAATACATGAACTCACACCTCAAATGTGGTACCTAAAATAGATCACAACCAACAAAAGTAGTGCCAGACCATACCGGTCACCAAAGACTAATGATAAGAAAGGCGACCGGTACCCTAAAATGGGTGGAACAAGAATATCATAATCCCAAATATAAAAAATTAATCAATAAATTAATACCCTATTCATTCAATGAATAACTCAACTTACTACGGAAACAAGTAGAACAAAATAAACATAGAAACAAATTAATAGGAACCACTTGTGATGGCAGATAGTTAGAAATAGTAAGAACTGCTTTAGCTACAGACTTTAACATCCTTCAAATTTTCTTAACATATAAAGAATTAAATAGGCAATTCAAAAATGAACAAGAAGAGATATGCCGAATTACAAAATGGCAAAACTGATAAAACAGAAGACAACAATATCATAATAGGCAATAAGAATATTGGGCTAAAAATGGTACTACATATTACCTTAGATTTGTATAGTAATCAACCATTGTATAGGCACAATAGTAAGAGAAATTGGAAAATAAATAGAATAGTACAAAAGCTTGCAAGAATGCAAGAAATGAATATTAGATAGGCTGTAATACATATAGGTATCTTATCTGGAAAAAAGAAACGATCAGATGTAATTGATAATATTAATGAAATATTACGCGTAATTAACAAGAACCGATAGGATATCAAATTACTATTAGAAAACTCAGCTAGCAATAATTGCTTTGGTGCAACCATTCCAGATCTCATAGATATAGTGAATAGTACAAGTCAAGAGTTAAGATATAAAGATAAGGCAAGACTAAAGAAGCGAATAGGCATATGCTTCGATATGCAGCACTGGTATGCTGCAGAGCAAGGCAAAAGAATCGATGAATATCGAAACGTACTAAGAATATACAAACAAGAAATCATGCTAGTACACATGAACAACAGCCTGCCAGAAGTGATATTCAGCAGAAGAATGGACAAACATGAGCACTTATTGGATCTACAAGCAAGTATACAACAAGAAGTATACCAAATGATTATACAGCATAAAGAGGTCTATGCTGTGATAGTAGAGACACAGTCAAATAAAATAGCTAATCAAATAGCACAAATACATGAAATCTCTAAACTAAGAAAATAGGCAGAAGATACATTTCAGGAAGAAATACTTCAAGAAGAGTGGTCCAAAGGAAAAGACCAAGAATTAAAAGAACACAAAAATTAGTATGAAGGACCAGGATCATCAGGAATAACAATTCTATTGGGAATAGAATTTGATGACCCAGAAGTAACATTACTTGCAGAACAAGTACAATGAATGACAGTTGCAGTGGAACATGAAGTGCTGCAAAATAAACAAGAAAAAAAACTGAATCAACTCTATCTGGAAGCTGCACAAAGAGAAATAAATCAATTTAGAGAACAAGTAATAGGAAAAAACAGTACTAAAAAGATAAGAAAGGAAAGCTAAAAGCTTAAATCATCAAGAAAGAAGCAAAGTCAAAACATCGAAAATGGAAACATTTATTAAGACACAATTGTTACAATTAGATCGAATCTTACAATTAGAAAAGGAACAAGAAGATCCAAGAATTAGAACAGGATTAAGACAACTAAAACAACGATTAGAGAGTATGGAAATAAATTATAAATATATTTCCCAATTAACAAGACAACAAACTGATGAATATATTTAAGAAATCGAAAGAGTTACAAATAGAAAAATATTGGAAGCAGAAACAGCTGAAGACAAAAAAGCTTATCTATACAAAACAATATCCGCATTAATAGAAACAAAAGATGCTATTCTTTGAAAAAATAGAGACCTAGTAAAAGATCTAGAAGAAGAATATAGATATGCAACTAACCAAGTACTAAACTTGGACAGAAAAGATTTTGAAGCAATGCAAGAATATGAACAACGAATCTTAATGGAAAGATTCACCAGACAAATAAAACAATGTAAAAGTGAACTATTACGAGAACAATACCAAGCAAAATATAGAGAACTATTGGGAGTATCTCTAGAAAACTTAGATAAAATACATGACGTAGAAGACGAAGAAGAATGAATATTCCAAGAACAACAATGAGCCAGAAGACAAGGCTCAAAATTACCAAAAACATTACCACCAAAATATCCATATCATAAAGAATATCTACTAACAATAAACGACTGCGAGAAACAGAACAAATGGCAGATAGATGGCTACTAGACGAAAACTTCAAACGAACATTAGAATGGCTAAATAAACAAGATAAAAATCAATACTCAAAAATACTAGAACAAACAATATCAAGAACAACAACAAGACCAAGTTCACCAATATCACCAACTTTCCTTGATAAAGCAAAAAGAATGGTGCAAGGCACATTAAGTACAGCGCAACAGATGTTAAGTAAAAAAAATTCAATGCAATCGATACAATTATCATCCCACTCTAAACAACATCAACATAAATCATCACCACTAATAAAAAAAGTACAACCAACTGATATAATATAAGAATCAAGTAGTCTTTACGCATCAACAAGTGATGATGACTAACCAGTATTACCAAAATATGGTCATAAGAGACAAAGGTCAAAACTCTCAAATCAATTATTTTTAGTAAGAAATCCGTGATTAGAACAATTTAGAAGAGAAAATCAACAAAGACAAAAACTATTTAGACAAACAGAACAAGAACAATTAACACAAGAAGATGCACAACAAATGGCTGAACTGGACGAATATATTTAAGAAGACACAAATGACTACAATGATTATAGTTGGAATAACTATTAGCAAGGGAATTATATGATCTAAATGACAAATATGAAGCAGGAGAATCATCCCTACGATATGAACTGAAAGAAACTAAATAGACCAGAACTATAGAATCTGAATGGAAAGGACAAAAAGCCCTAT